TGCAGAAAGCTGGAATTCAAAAAAATCAGAGCACATCTCCCCTCCAAAGGAATGCAGCTCATTGCCAGCAATGGAACAAAGCTGGATGGAGAATGACTTTGACAAGTTGGAGAGAAGAAGGCTTCAGTCGATAAAACTTCTCAGAGCTAAAGGAGGAACTACGATAACCAGCACAAAGAAACTAAAAAACCTGGAAAAAAGAATGGATGAATGGATAACTAGAATAATCAATGCAGGAGAGACCATAAAGAACTGATGGAGATGAAAACCATGACACGAGAACTACGTGACAAAATGCACGGAAGCTTTCAGGTAACCACTCATAACGGAAGAAAGAGTATCACGTGATTGAAGATCCAAATGAATGAAATGAAGCCAAGAAGAGAAGGTGTACAGTAAAAAAAATGAAAGCAAAGCCTCCAAGAAATATGGGATTATGTGAAACAGGACCAAATCTACATCGTGATTGGTGTGCCCTGAAAGTGAGGGGAAACATGGAACATAGTTGGAAAACCTCTGTCAGGATATCATCAGGAGGAACCTTCCCCAAGCCTAGTAAACGCGCAGACAACATTCAATTCAGAAATAACCAGGGAGATGCCACAAAGATACTTCCCTCGAGAAGAGCAAGCTCAAGACACATAATGCTCCAGATTCATCCAAGTTGAAGTGAACAGAAAAAATGTTAAGCGGTAGCCAGAAGAAAACGTCAGGTACCCACCAAAAGACAGCCCATCAGACTAACAAGAATCTCTCGGGCAGAAACTCTCCAAGCCAGAAGAGAGTTGGGCAATATAACATTCTTAAAGAAAAGAATTTGTCAACCCAGAATTTCATATCCAGACCAAACTAAGTCTTCATAAGTTGAAGAGAGAGAATAAATCGCTATACAGATAAGCAAATGCTTAGAGATTTTTGTCAGCCACTAGGCCTGCCCTACCAAGGAGGATCCTGAAGGATAGCAAGCTTATCATAACATGGGAAAGAACAACCTATACCAGCCGAATGCATAAAACATGCCAAAATGTTAAAGACCATCGATAGCTAGTGAAGAATACGGAATCGAACTAGAATCTGAGAAATATGCATACGACCCAATGAAGACTATAGAGCCAAAGGAAATAATATACTAGGAATAACAATAAGGATGGAAATGAAAAACTCCTTAGGGAAATTCAAGGAGTGCTAAGATCATCCACAACAGACAAGCTCACGCTTCAGAACCACGGTAGATCTATAGGCCACTCTTTGTAATATGTAATAAATGAATATGTGCGGGGAAGACTCCAATTTAGGAGTGCTAGGGGAAAAAGAAATACCCAGGAAATCAAAGAAGCTTCTGAGGAACTGTGAGTGTTCTTGCACTTAAACTTCACTCAAGAAGTACCACAGACTTCTTGCGTTCAGCTCTTTGATCGGCATAGCGCTATGTACTCGCTTGAATGGGATCAGAAGGCTATATCGAATCTTGAGTAGTTTGCCGTAATAAGTTCCAAAAGGAGAGAGATACTTGATTAGCAAAAGAGAAAAGACGGAGAAAGTACAGTTGTCCTATCGGTGAATACAAACTATTGCAAGAACAGAAAACCAAACACCACATGTTCTCACTCATAGGTGGGAACTGAACAATGAGATCACTTGGACACAGGAAGGGGAACATCATACACTGGGGCCTATTGTGAGGAGAGGGGAGAGGGGAGGGATAGCATTAGGAGATATACTGAATGTAAATGATGAGTTAATGGGTGCAGCACACCAACATGGCACATGTATGCATATGTCACAAACCTGCACGTTGTGCACATGTACCCTAGAACTTAAAGTATAATAATGATTTTTTTTAAGTCAAAAAAACAAACAGAAAAAAAATAAGAAAATAATTTATCTAGGGTCCATTGTAGAAAAATGTGGTGAGCGCGCCCCCTTGTGTTCAAGTTTTGAAAATACACATTTTTGAAACATTCAGTTGCAGAGTTCTGTTTTCAATTTACAGATTACTGAGGTATCTTCAGCTACTATATTCTATGAATCACTGGATTCATTACTCTAAAAGGCACAAAGACAAGTGATGGCAGAGTCTGTCTATGCCTCTTTAATATTTGAATTCTAGCAGCTAGCACAGTGACACTCATGAAGCAGATTCTCAGCTAATTTCTGTCAAATGTAATTTAACCATTATTCTCTTACTGGGAAATAGCAAGATAGAGAAAATGGATGATGATGGGAACTTTGAGTAGATGGTGGCAATGGTGGGGATGGTAGGGATGGTAGGGAGAGCAGGGAGGAGTGAAGAGCCACAATAGCAAAACCTTGTATCATCACAAAGCTTTAAACTTCTGCAAAATACTTTCATTTCTGTCAGCATAGTTGAAAAAGTACATGAGACTGAGTGCAGAATCTCTAATTAAAAGGTGAAAAATTTTGAATTCTCCCTTCACAGTATTGGTTCATTCAATCGACAAAATATGTTATTTTCATAACAGAGATTCTCTACTTACCCCTTATCTGCTTCAACTTACTGTGATATTACCTGTCAACCCAATTATCACTGAACAAATATTTGTGGATTGCCTGCTATGGACCACAAGTGTTCTAAACAGTAGGAAGCAATGGTAAGCAAAACAAAAAATAGTCTCTGCTGTTGTAGCCCTAATAGCCAAGTGGACTTCTAAAGTAATAGAAATTACCACTACTGTTGCTGTCCATCTTGGCTGTTGCTGTTGGTAACCAATAGTCAAGGCTTGTATGTGCATGTCAAGGCTCTAATATTTGCAAGGAAACTTCTGTCTTCTATTATGTCAGCAGCCATTGGCAACAAAGTTGTTGAAGCCTTGGAACACTACTTATTGAGTTTTTACTCCTTTTATTGCTAATCTCTTGCTCTAAGACTCAAGCATAAGTACTAAGAGGACAGACTGGAAGACACAGTAAGAAAAGCATTCTCTTATACCACACAATTGTACCACACATTGTCTTATACCAAAACAATATAATTTGACTCCCTTTCCTTAGGATGTTCTTTCATGGAAGATTTGCATGGACATTCTTCTTATAGTTCCCCAGACATATGCAGTTATGCCTTACTACTTAGGGCAGAGATTGCTTAGGCACATGGTAGGATCCACACTATTCTGTGCTTTAGGAAAGTCATTACCAAGTTTTGAAACTCATTTGGCTTAATGAGTGAGTTAAAAGTAAAGGCTCATACCTGTAGTCCCAGCACTTTAGGAGGCCGAGGGGGGTGGATCACCTGAGGCAGGTGGATTACTTGAGGTCAGGAGTTCGAGACTGGCATGGCAAACATGGTGAAACCCCATCTCTACAAAAATACAAAAAGTAGCCAGGCATGATGACGCGTGCCTGTAATCCCAGCTGCTCAGGAGGCTGAGGCAGGAGAATCACTTGAACCTGGGAGGCGGAGGTTGCAGTGAGCCAACATCATGCCACTGCACTTCAGCCTGGACGACAGGGCAAGACTTTGTCTCAAAAAAAAAAAGTGTTTTTCCTTTATATAATTTTCTTTAAGGTGCTTGGCTGCTTTATTAAGATCTTATAATTTCAAATTAAATATTATTATTATTATTTTTAGAGACAGGGTCTTGCTCTGTCACCCAGGCTGGAGTGCAATGGCGTGAGCATAGCCCCCTGCAGCCTTGAACTCTTGGGTTCAAGTGATCCTCCTGCCTCAGCCCGTTGAGTCTATAGGACTACAAGGCACACATCACCATTGCCTGGCTTAAATATTATTTTAATAATTTCAACTGAAAATAATTCCAAAATGAAAGCAAAGGATTTTAAAATAAATTTATCTTTTATGTTTTAGAATGTGCTACTCTTCATAATATAATTAAAGGGCTACAACAGACCATTGAATGTCAACAGAATTTGAAAGGTAAGTTAGAAAAAAAAGTAAAATCTAAAAAAGCTTTGTTTATTTGAGCACTTTTAAAAATGGGAAGCTTTTACATTGTTGATAATAAGTTTCAATTTATCAGCTAAAAGTGGACATCTTACTACTTAAAAATATTTTCCTAGATGATTATGAAATAAGAAATGTTATGCTGAACGGAACAATTCAGTCATGTTCTATATGATAGTGACATAAAGGGATGTTTTGTATAGGTCATATAATTATTACCTTAAAAAGTTTAGAAATAGATTTATTCTCAGTAGCATTGTTGGTCTTTAATAACCTTGTGTTCAGTTTTGAAGAGTGGGTATTACTAGTTAAACCATAATTTTTTATTTAAACCACAGTGATAATTTACCATTTAATTTTTTTGTCATAGACTAAGACTGTATTTGTGCAAGTGAAGTCAACACATTCAGCTTACCTTATCTTTAACAAACATTTTAATCAAACAGGCCTACCATTCACAAAACAGACCAACCAAGTATTTTGTGCTGTTCTGACTCAGCTGTGATGGCTGTGAGATTTTTTTCTACTATATCAGAGATTAAACTAAATTGCCTTAAAGGCCCCTTCCACATAAAACTCACATCAAATAAGCATTTCTCATCTTAGACCTCTGCTTTTATTTTAAAACAAGCACCTTATATATGTGAGATAAAATATTGATCTTATATGTGATTCCTGTAATTTGGAGTGTTAAAAAAGGGCACTCGTTGAAACCCCGTCTCTACTAAAAAATACAAAAAACTAGCCGCATGGTGGCACGCGCCTGTAGTCCCAGCCTAGGCTGAGGCAGGAGAATCGCGTGAACCCGGGAGGCGGAGCTTGCAGTGAGCCGAGATCCGGCCACTGCACTCCAGCCTGGGCGACAGAGCGAGACTCCGTCTCAAAAAAAAAAAAAAAAAAAAAAAAAAAAGGCACTCGTGCTCCTATTTCAATGCCAGGGCTCAAAACAACTTTTCCCTTCCTTGTGACTAAAATACCACACCCAGCTGGGTTCTCTATTCTGTTCCATAATCTACATGTCTGTTTTTTTTTTTTTTAACAGTGCTACTGTTCTGATTACTGTAGCTCCATAATATATTTTGAAATTAGGTAGTGCAATGGCTCCAGGTTTGTTCTTTTTACTCAAGATTTCTTGGGCTATTTGAGGTCTTTTGTGATTCCATATGAATTTTAAGATTGTTTTGTCCACTTCTGTAAAGAATGTCATTGGCATTTTGATAGTGATTGCATTAAATATGCAGATCATTTTAGATAGTATGGATATTTTAACAATATTTTAACAATTTTAACAATATTAATTCTTCTAATCTATTTATCTGTGTCTTCTTTAATTTCCTTCATCAATGTTTTATTACTTTCAGTGTACAAGAATCTCACCTTCTTTGGTTAATTCTTAACTATTTTTATTGCCATTGTTAATAAGATTGTTTCTTAATTTCCTTTCCAGATATTTTGTAATTTGTATATAGAAATGTGACCGATTTTTGTATGTTGATTTTGTGTAGTGCAACTTTACTGAATCTGTTTATTAGTTCTAATAGGTTTTCTAAGTATATAGTCATGTCATCTGAGAATATAGATAATTTTCTTCTCTTCTGATTTGGATGCCCTTTATGTCTTTCTCTTTCCTAATTGCTCTGTCTAGGATTTCCAGCAAATATGTTGAAAAGAAGTGGCAAAAATACTAAACACACTCCTGAACAATCATTGAGTTAAAGAATCAACCAAAGGAATTTTAAAATATCTGAGACAAATGAAAACACAACATACCAAAACCTATAGGATACAGCAAAAGACATTTTAATGGGGAAGTTTATGGCTGTAAAGCCTAAATTTAAAAGGAAAAAAATATATATCCAATAAGTAATCTATCTTTACGCCTCGAGGAACTAGGAAAAAAAAAAAAACAACAACAAATTAAGCCCAAAGGTAATCAAAGGAAAGAAATAATGAAGATTATAGGAGAAAACAATCAAATAGAAGATTAAAAAAACAGAAAATTTAACAAAACTAAGAGTTTGTTTTTTCAAAAAAATAAAATTGACAAACCCTTGGCTACACTGAAAAAAAAAGAAAGATGTCAGTAAATAAAAGCAGAAATGAAAGAGAAAACGATACAACTGTTGTCTTAGGGGGCGTAAGGAGGATAATAAGGGATTATTAAGAGCAACTATATGCCAACAAACTGGATAACCTAGGAAAAATAGTCAAATACCTAGGAACATACAACCTGCCAAAACTGAGTCAGAAATAGTCAGAACACACCAACAACAAATAAGGAGATTGATTAAATAATCAAAAATCTCCCACCAAAAGAAGCCCAGGATGAGGTGGCTTCATGGGGAATTCCATTAAACACTCAGAGAAAAAGTAATATCAATTTTTCTTAAACTCTTTCAAACAATAAAAGCAAAGGGAACACTTCCAAATTCATCTATGAGGCCAGCATCACCCTGACACCAAAATCAGACAAAGACACTGCAAGGAAAGAAAATTGCATCCCAGTATCCCTGATAAACACAGACTCAAAAATCCTCAATAAAATACTATCAGATAAAATTCAACAGCCCATTAAAAAGATCATATATCCTAACCAAGTGGGATTTATCCCTGGGATGCAAGTATGGTTCTGTATACACAGATCAATCAATGTGATACACCATGTGATTTCTATTTATTATCAAAATGAGTAGAAAAAAACACACGAACACCTCAATAGATACAGAAAAAACATTTGACAAAATTCAACATCCACTGATGAATTAAAACTCTCACAAAATAGGTATAGATAGAGAAGATAATAGGCATGGAAGGATCTTGCCTTAACACAATAAAGGCCATAAATGAAAAGCTTACAGCTAACATCATAAAGAATGGGAGAAAACAGAAAACTTTCTCTTTGAGATCCGGTACAAGGCAGGTACAAGTTTTAAAACAGCCATTCTTGGCCGGGCGCTGTGGCTCACGCCTATAATCCGTATCCCAGCCAACATGGTGAAACCTCACCTCTACTAAAAAAAATACAAAAATTAGCTGGGTATGGTGGGCTTGCCTGTAATCCCAGCTACTCAAGAGGCTAAGGCAGGAGAATCACTTGAACCAAGGAGTTGGAAATTGCAGTGAGCCGAGATCACGCCACTGCACTCCAGCCTTGCCACAGAACGAGACTCTGTCTCAAACAATAAAAAAATAAAATAGCCATTCTTAAAAATGAATATTGTACGATGCCTCTTGCAAATAAATGATGATTCATTGAGTTCACTTTCCCAATGCTTTTACAAGCCTTAATTGAGCAAGATGATAGATAAGAACTATCTATATTTGACCATTTTCATCCAATTGATTGCCAAGATAGTATGATTAATCTGCTTATTTAAGCTACCCAGTGGTTTCCTTTCCAATAGCTCTTTTCTCTCCTTAATAGGAAACTGTTTTTCATTTTCAGACATTCACCCTTTATTCACTTAACCATATGTCTCAGGGAAAGCTGATTGCATCCAAACTCCAAGGGAGTTCTTTTGGAATAATTTTCCTCTCTCCCAAGAGATGGACTGTGTTCTTCTGGTTGTTATAAGACTGTATATAATGCCTAAAATTGTTGCAGATTTCTTATTTCTAGTCTAAAACTCATGCCAGCAGGATGATTTTGGAGGACAGCAAGAAAAGTAAACTAAAAGGATCTGGTTTTTTGGTAACACTATTGAGCCGATTAATCAATTACCCTTTGGGTTTAAGAAACTTTTCAGTTACAATGAGAGAAATGCTACCTTCCTTTAGTCTTATCAATGAATCTTTCCAGTAGGGACTTATGGATTATGTAAAAGATAATTCAATGAGATGTAGAAAAAATTGCAATTCTTATTTATCTTTATTTTTATCTGAAAATTCAAAGCCAGTCATCTTACAAAAATTTAATAACTAGGATAATATTCCTTTTTCTATGTGTAAGTTAATTATATGTCACGCGTGATACACAAGGTTCTTCTTTCTCTGAGGAGAATGGGAGTTCTAAAACTGAACAATTGCATGTTTGCTTTTTCCTCTAGTTTCAGTGTATGGCCATGTAGTACAGTTTATATGTATCTAGATAAGAGGATTGATAGATAAAAGTAGCTAGTTCTAATCAAACTAATCCTTCCAAAATGGACAAGTAGTTTTAAAAAATAAAACATATATTGAGGACAATAATAATTACAATAATGCAAGCACAAGCCAACAATAAGAAATTATCACAGCTGTCACTTCTCCTACCCCCATACAAGCTCTTTATCAGGCATATTAAGTTAAAAAGTAATCAAAGTCTATTAGACTTGATAAAATGTCAGCCAACAGTGGCCAATTAACTGATTTTGGAAAATTAATTTATGGAAAAACCATTGTATCTTTAGAAATGGTTCCACCATTAAGCAACTTCAGGGCTAAAAATGTGTCACTTTTAAGTATTCTCACTTGCACATAAAACTTGGAAATAGAATTCTAACTTTAATGAAAATCCTTCAAATGCACCTCATGTTTCTGGTAAAACATATAAGGATCTCGGAAGTTGTCATTCCCTGCTAACAACAAGTAAAACATTGAGCAAACTGAAAAATCAACAATTCTTAGACTCTTTTGATCACAGAAGTGAGGTCACAGGACAGATTGATGCACCTAAAATTGGAGACAGGGAAGCAGATTCAGAAAATCACAACTTACAAGAACAGAAACCTCCCTGTTTGTCAGGCCGGGAAACCCTAAAATGTAATTTTGATGAATTGCAGGAGGCTCACCGTGGTCAAGTCTAAGAGATTAAAAATTTCAGGGGACCCAATCCCATAGGGGAGCCCTTACAGTTTTGTAAGTTTTACCTGTAAGAGCTCTGCTAAGATCTCACAGTTAAGATATGGGGAAAATCCCCTCATGTTGTTGGCCAGAGGAGAGGAAAAGTAACCATTTTGAAATAATCAACAGCTTCTGGTCTTAAGAAAGCCTGA